AGGAGAAATGTTAAATTTAAAAGTAAACAAAAATGGACGCTAGCAAGAGTTTTTTAAAACTATTTTTAATAAAATTTTAAGTAAAAATATATTTAAAGTGCTTAATATGTATAGTGATCACGGAGGCACAGAGAAGAAACTAAACTTTTCCTTGAGTTGTGAGAATAACAAGCACAACAAATTTAACGGCTAATAATCTGATGTTTGTCTTTGTAAACAGGGTGATTAAAACGAGCTTTAATCGATTTTACATATATTAAATGGAAATGTACTCTTATGCCTTGCCGTACGCATATGTTTACACATCAAACTTCATGAGTACCATGAGAATATCCCTAATCTGTGGTTCTTCATTTGTCGCTAAGTTTACGTTAAACTCATGAATACATATAACATAGCATCTTTTGTTTGCAAAATAGGAAGCTAAATTATTTTGTCCGGAATTTCCTCTTACTCTCGTCTTCTCTTTGTACAACCTTGTATTACTTATATCATCCATACGTATTTTCATTAGTTATTAACGGACCCATGTTGATTTAATAATTTTTAAATTTTCACCTTGCTTTTAATCTTTAGACTAAAACCATGCTACGAATATCAAAACCCCTTGCAACAAATGAATTCATCCATACACATCATCCATACACATGTATGTACATACAATTTTAGGTATGGCTGAGTTCCAAAAAGTCAGTTGCAAAGCAACTGTACAAAGTCACGCATTCCTAAATGCAAATGTGTAATTTTTGACGATGTGGCATGTCCCAAAATGTATCGTAAAAGTTATCGATGCGTATACAGAAAGCAAACTGCGCATCGCTAAGCTAATTGATACTTTGATGATATTTCGAAGTAAACAATGGCCGATGTCGAAGGGTAAGATTACATTTTTCTACCTTAATTCAGTGCTATATTGAATATTTAAAATATTCAATATATATGGTTGCAATGTGTCGCAACTCTGCACATACAAACAGTTTGAATACAGCAGTATAACAGTTTCCAAACATTGTATTGATACGTTTTTTGTTTGTGAAGTCAGCATATGTATACATAAAGATACATAGTCGTATGCATGCACAGAGTTTGCATAATCGGAAGTAAAATTTATTTTTACGGCATTTCCTCTTACTCTGAATATGCCTAAATCTATGCAACCATTTGCATTAGCAGGTAAACACAGAGTGCTTCTAATGAAATTAAAAATTTTCTGCTGCAATACACATGGTATGTTCTTCGAAATTTTCTGCTGGGCTATGCGTTACAGCTTCGCAAATTTTACCCCTACCGAAACCAAAGATGTATGCACATCAAAAGTATTTAGAGGTCGCTGGTATGTCCTTCGAAATTTTCTGCTGGCCTATGCGTTACAGCTTCGCAAATTTTACCCCTACCGAAGCAAAAGATATATGCACATCAAAAGTATTTAGAGGTCGCTCAGAGAGCTCAAAGTGTTCCATGTATTTTACATAGAAAAACCACTTTTCATAGAAATGGCATAGAATTCTTGGAAATCAATATTTTCAATCGGAAAACTCTTATTCTCTTCAGGAGGCTTCCAATAACAACACCCAGTTGTTAATTTAGCCATTTTTTAATACTAAATAATTTTTATTTATACCCCCTTTGCATTTTTTTCTGAGGGTTTTGGCGGTTTTGGTAAATATGCTTGCAAATATGCTTTATGCTTGCTTTTAAGTACAGTTTAATGTTTTGTTATACCCGAGCGCACTTGGGCACAAGGGTATTATAACTTCGATTGCATAACAGTTGCTTGTAACAGCCCAAACGAATCGAGATAGATACATATATACAAATGTATACATAAAAGCTCAGAATGAAAAGAGAAATCGACTAAGCCATGTCTGTCCTTCCGTCAGTAACCCGAGCAAAAATTGGTATTTGTCAACGAAATTTGGTAAGTAGGTTGCCCTTTATCCAAGGTATGTTGGGATTGAAAATGGGCGAAATCGGGCAATAACCACGCCCACCTCCCATAAAACGGTGTTTTCGATATATGCAAAAACTAAGATATTTCCGCAAATACTGGATCCAAATTGTTGAAAGTTGGTATTTGAATAGTATTTGAAGTAGAATTTCGGCATAAAATAAGACAGTTATACAATTTTTGGAAAATGGGCGTGGCCCCGCCCACTTATGATTAAATGCTGTATCTCTGTAGTCCCTTTACCAATCCTTACCAAACTCGGTGAGAACATTGCTTAGGGACTCACTAAGAAACTCAGACAATAACCACGCCCACCTCCCATACAACGGTAACTTACAGTAACTATTTAAGCTAATTTACTCAAAATCGACATATGCAATGACCATTTAGCTGAAAACGATTTTTAGTAAAATTTTTGGAAAATGGGCGTGGCACCGCCCACTTACGCCTACATATGTTTATCTCGGTACCTGGTTTATCAATTTCTACCAAACTCGACACATTTAGCAACCTTGGCGCAAAGAAGCAATATGTTGAAAATTTATGAGATCGGACTAAAATATTTGCCAGTTACCATAAAACGGTAAATTTCAGAAATACGAAAACTCCGATTTTTCAATAACTGAAGACGCCAACAATCTTTTAACAAGACACAAGATTATTGATTTTTGTTAAATGGGCTTTGCACCACCCACTTATGACTACAGAAGTATATATCGATAACCGCCTTACCGATTTCCACCAGATTTGGTCCAATTATTTCAATATATCATAGCATATTATTGAAACTATTTGACATTGGGAAAAATAATCTTCCTTAGCATGCACTTTACTGAGAGGTGGAAAAGCGATATTTAATACGTGCACCGGATACATGTATAAAGTTAGGTTTCGCCTGAGCTTATACTTCTTTACTTGTTTTACCCTATGTTATGTCCGAGATCACTGCCTAGATGCCAGTTAAGGTCCCATGAAAACCCATTCAGTAGTTTCGGAGATTAGTGATTTCAAACAGACAAAAATTATAAAAATGCCCCAAGTCTATTCTATTATACTCCCTGCATCACCTTCGGTATTTTTTTTTTAAAGAAATTTTAAACGTACAGTCATGACTTTTTTAAAGTTTTATTATAGTTTAGTTAAAAAAAAATTACTTAAAAAACATTCCAACTACAGTGAAACCCGCTTGAGTACCCCCGCTTAAGTACCTAACCCGCTTAATTTCCCAACATTTTTGAGCACCGTGAATTTTTTAATGTATTCTGAAGAAAATCCCCCTTTTAAGTACCTCCCCGCTTATGTACCCAACCCGCCTAAGTACCTACATTTTTCGTACCCCATTTACCATTTTACTTATAATTTCCCCCTTTTAATTGCTTTTTTTTAATTTCTTCAAAAATTTGCATATTTTCAAATTCAGTGGCAGGGCTACACACCCTCGGCAAAAAATTTTAAAAATCAATGGTAATTCTTCGCCACTTGAAACTTGGACATTATTAAAATTTTAAGCTTATATTTTAAGTTTCTACGGTATTTGTTAGGGAATGAATTTTTCTAATTGAAAAATTTTAAAAATTAAAAAATAAACATAAGTGGCAAACAATAGCATTTTGAATTTGGTCCAAAATGATATGCCCTGTTTGTGTTCATGTATAAATATGTATAATCAATGACTTTTCAATTTAATTCTTGTGAAAATGACATTGCTTTATCTGTTTTTTTTTTTTTAATAAAGTTTTCCTTTATGTGTTTACTTGTTTAAATAATGCTACGATCTTTGTTTTAAATTACGTATACTTCATTAAATGTTCATGCTTTATTCAAGGACTTAATTATGTAAGTTAACAAGAAGATGTAACTACATCACAAATTATGTTCGCTTAAGTACCCGTATCGAGGTACTTAAACAGGTTCTTTTAAGTAATCAACCCGCCTAAGTACCTCAAAAACCTGACATTTTTCGTAAGGTACTTAAGCGGGTTTTACTGTATTTAACAAATTTCACCATACACTCGAAGCTATTTTAACAGTACCAGCATTAATCTGTGAAACAGCCATTTTGACAAGAAATCTGTAAAGCCTGAGAGAAGTTCAAAATTTGGCATCTTTCACAGCTTGTTTTGAAGCAGCTTTCCCATGTATATATATTTATTAATAGCACTAAGGTCTTCTCAAGGCTTAACAAGGTAGAAGTGATTTCGACATTTCTCTCTTTTGAACTGCGACTAAAATGTAAATTCTTAACCCTATGCTATTAAAAATTTCTATTTTTTTAATATAAATTTTCAATTGTGAGCTGTGCGCCTGATTTTAAATACATAATAAAATGAAACGGAACTACGGGCGGTTTGTTGTGTTTGACAAGAGCCAGGACAACAAACTTGTCCGTTATTTTAAAACTCCGAAGTATCAATACTTCATTACGAGACTCTTCACGTGTGCGCGAAGACCATTTTAGTGCCAATGACTTTATTTGTTGCCCATCGCAGCCGGGTATTTCTAAGCGGACGCGTTTGTTCCCAGGTGCAGGAATTATTATACCGAATGTGCAGAGAAAATCTTCCACTCATATACATGGACAGACCAAATTTCAAATGGTGGTCAAATAAAACCTAAACCAGAATTCCTTGTTGACATAAAGAAACTGAAATTAACTTTTAATAAATTTAATGGAAAGGAAATTTCGAATTGCAAAAATTTAATAGCCGAATTATTGGAGTTAAGTTTTTTAAATGTCTAATATACTTTAAAATTAAGTATTTAAATAAAAAAAATAAATGCTACTAACAGCACGAAAATTGCCAAAATGGGTTTATAAATGAGTGTGTTTCACTTATTGTTTACATTTTTTGACATTACAGTCAGCTATGAGAGAGCTCGACTGAATTGTCACTTCTACCTTGTTGAATATGCCTTGAGTCTTTTTTCCTGGAAAAACTTTGTTTCCCTCTATCTTTAGTTACAGTAAATCGATACAATAAAGTATAAAATTCAGTGTATGTGTTTCACTGAAAAAAATAAACGTTTTCACTTAATGTTGAATAAACCTTACCGAATATTTTTGTGGCTTGCAGAATCCACCTTAAATTTGCGTGGCAGATGATTGAGATGCAATTCAGCGGCCGCTGCAAAATGTCGATAACTCTTATGCATGTGATGCGTAAGTATTGGATTCATGCCCATTAATTTGATATCTTCGGATATAGGTGTGGAAATCGCCGTATGCTGCGAAAATTTTATATTTTTATTTTCATATTTTTAAAATACGTAAGGTTAATCAGTCTGTGGACATACCTGTAAATTTAGTAGGTAGTCGTTATCTCCACATGACGGTGAAATCGGCTGAGAATCATGGCTCGTGCTCCTGTATGCATATTTATTTAAACAAAGTCAGTATTTTTTTAAAATTACATTTCAGTTTCAAAACGACGTTAAAAATTTTTTATAAAATTAAAAGATGATAGTTAAAGCATATTTATGTGATATTTAGAAGAAAAAATGTCTGTCAAAATGTTTGGAAAAGAAATAACCATTATGTGAGTAGAAAAAAAGTGCATTCTCTCAAGTTGTGTGTAAAAATTCTAGTGCATTATTAACCCGGCGCCGTAAAAATAGTTACGAGGCCGATGATACGATTGATCTTTAAGTTAAACTAAAAAAAAAAGTAATTGAACTGCCTGATTTATTGTTTATTATGTGATAAATAGTAAAAAACAGATATACTATGTAAATTAATCTTTTATTCACTTTTGTTTATAACATGCAAGATGAGCTATTACAAAATTTTACTTTCGTAATGCTGATGATGACGGTTGTTGCCTATTCGGTTTGCCCGTCAATCATTGTTGTCAATCTCAACTTACGGTAGACCCAAGGAACGTGCAGTTTTTATGGGGTCTGACCAAAAGGATAGGGGTGTAATGGAGTGGGATTGAGCTGGCATGTGAGGAGATGGTTGGCGTCGTCTGGGTAATCTCCACATGCCGGACACTCATTGGGGATGTTGGGGTCGGGTCTGGACAGGTAGTTGTTAAGACGGCTGGAATATTCAGACCGTAGCTGGGCCAAAGTAACGCGGGTCTCCCTTGGCAGTTGAAGCTCTGGTGGTGATTGGGCTCCGAATACAGCATTCATGGGTCGGAAGTCTTTAGCTTCGTCCACAGCGTCCACCTAGTCACCGGCGACCAAACAAGCGTCGCATGGTTCAGAAACGGCCGGCCAATTGCCTTGTATGTTGCCAGCCAATTGCCTTTTTCTTAAGTGCTGCCGGCAAACGACTTTATGAAACTTGTGTTAGTTGTTGTTGTTTCCGACAGGGTGGGCGTATGATGTATTTTGGAACGAATTTCCGTCATCCCTTGTCAGATTTGGTTTGGGGACAAACCGGTTTCGGCGTTATGCCATCTTCAGTGTAATTTTTCGTTCTGGAAAATTTTTTTGGTTGCTCGTATTTATACTCCTTTTTAACTACCTCTTTCTTTTGTTAGGTACGTCTTCTTACTTTTGCAATATTTGCGGTGCTGAATAGGTAGATGCATTTCTTTGGCTTGTTTTTGCTGGCAGGTAGAAGTCAGTGATTTTTACCTTCTTTGTTTTTATAGTTAGTGTATTCCCTTCCATGTCTATCCTTCATATTTTGTTGTTGTTATTTTTCTTCTCGTACAGTAGTCTTAGAGGTTCAAACAGTGCGTCCGATACAGTATTTATTTGCTCATTTATTATTTGCCCTTTGAAGGTCTTCTGATTATGTATTTCCATGTGTTCTAATATATTCAATCTTTGTCGTATATGTTCTAATGTTAAGTTCTGTTGTTTATCCAATCTTCATTGGTGCGCATTTATTTTTGATCATGTGATTTGCGAAGTTCAATTCTGTTGTAGCCTCTGGTTTACGTTTTTTCTTATTATAATCCCTTATGTATTCTCGATACCTTGTTCTTATGTTTCGTCCTGTTTGTCCTATGTAGCTGTATCGGCACTCGCAGGTTAACTTGTAAACGCCCTGTTTATCTAACGGGTCTTCCTCGCTTATTTTCTCTTACAATATTCCTCCCACAGTGTTCCTTGTTTTAAATGATGTCTGAATGTCGTACATATGAAAGAATTTGGCAAGTTTATACGATGTCTTTCCCGTGTAAGTTAGAACTGCCCAAGTTTTTTTATTGTTCTCATCTTTGCTGCCCTTTTTTGATTTTGTGGCCTTTCTTAACTTTTCAACCAGGCCTCTTTTATATCCATTATTTTGCGCAATGGCATATATTGTATTCAGTTCATTCTTGTAGTCTTCTTCCGTTAGAGGGGTCGTTTCAAGCCTCGTTATTAGTTGTCTATGTGCTGCATTTTTGTGTTGCTGTGGATGGTTCGAGCTGTTGTATATTATTATATCTGTGGCTGTTGGTTTTCTGTATATTTCGAACTGTATCTTGCGCGTGGTATTGCTTACTTTAATTGTTAAATCCAGATTGAAGCCTGATCGCCTTTTATCAGGTGGTGAAGAAGGTCGCGGTTGATTTCCTTCCAGTTAAGAAGCTAGGAAATCAGAAGAGATAGCCGTTTTCTTCTGAACAGAGGTCATCAATGTAGTTCCCAGGTCCGAATTTCGAGCAGTCATCAGCGTATGAGACTAGGGAAATACCCTCCGGTGGCTGAAAGAGCTTCGAAATGTAGAAGTTAAACAGTAATGGGGAAAGGACACCACCCCATATAACCCCCTGATTAATTCTTCTAAGTTTTGAGCTTTGATCTCGGAAGATTTCTGACGACTGTCGACCACTCATATAATTCGACGACCACCGTTTCAGTCCTGTTAAATGACAAACGGCGTCAAACGCCTTTGACAAGGTCAACGCTACTGGGACTATTCTCTCACAGAGGCGGTTGCGGTTTAGGCAACGAGTTATCTGGGTATTTATGAAGTTAAATGCTATTGCTGTGCTTTGCCCTTTACGGAAATCATGCTGATGCTTCTCTGGAGTCAGGTAGTGTGTAAAGCACGGAAATATCAGGGCCTCGATTGTCTTCGCGGCCGAGGAAAAGAGCGTTATTGGGCGATACGATTCCCGTTTGTTGGCTGGTAGGACCACTGGCCACGACTTAAACACATCGGAATTATTGAGAGTGGCCATTGACAAGTTGAGTTCTTTGGTGAAATATACTACTCCCGCGGGACCAAATTTTTCAGCATCAGCATACAAATTCGGTCGGGTCCAATGGTTTTTTCTGCTTATGCTAAATTGCCAGTTGCCGAATCTCTAAATTAAGGTCATTTAAGCGAGGATCCTCGGGATCAACCTGGCGTAGATGGTCACGCTTATTTGTTAGAACAGCCGCTTCTGCCGGGAAGTTTGGGCGGACTTACGCGATAAGTCCGGATGGACCCGCTGCGGCAGTGACCAACTTCCGGAACTGGCGTTCGCCAGCATATATGTCTGTAGGTAAAGGAAGGGTTGCGAAGCTGCTCTCGGTAACACCCGCCAAGCTGTCCGAATCGACTTTGCTAAAGTTGATGTAGGTAGGAGATCCGCGGGGGCTAAGCCGTTAGGCTTATTGATCGAGATGAGTATGATTATGCTACTTGTCAGACCTTCGAACTGCTGCAGCTGATTATGGGCAGTAGCTCGTTTGTCCAACAGTTCTCTACCAAGACGAATTCATATATGAATTCGACGCTTTGTTCTCTACTGCTAATGAGTGGTAGAGAACTACGTATATTCTCTACCAGTAGGAAATAATTGGTAAAGAAAAGTTACAGAAACGAGCTACCATCGTCGTTAATGGTGTAGAATGTCGAATCGTCTATCGGCTCATTCAATAGGTTTTCTCTACGATCATTTACCAGGCTTGAGTGCGATTTTAAGTCACCTACTACCGTTATGTTTGCACCTCTCAGTAGCACCGGGGTAGCAGGTGACAGGGGGTATATATACTTTAAATATTTCGAGCTCGACATCGCCTGACATTCTAGGGTGGTGTCCCTGTGGTCGATGTATTCTTCGATTAGACGATAGTACCGGTGTGGTGTAGGATGATTGTTGCGCCCGCCACGGTTACAGTAGCTGCGTGGTAGCGTATGGCTGTAGTTTTTGCGTTAGTGATTGCGGCTGCGGTGATCTGCAACATGAGGCGCGGTAGCTTGTTGTCCATTCGCGTGTGGTGCGCAGGTCAGAGCATAGGCGGAAGTGGCACCAGCTAAGGCATGAGTTGCATTTGACAGATGCCACATTCCAGTATACTCTGTTCTAACACACGGCGAAGATTGTGTGGGCAACCAAGAGCTGGTGGTTGGCATTCACACATGAATTCGAGCAGGTGGTAGGGTGGTTTGAGGGGTGGGCGTGTGGGAGGTTAAGTGCTGTTCGAAGGGGGCTTCTTGGAGCCGTGCAGACTCTTTGGGTGGTAGTTCACACGTGCGTGTTCCGCGTGCTGGTAGCTGTGGAGGCGAGTGGTCCCGTTTGGTGCGAGAAACAGGGGGAAGGGGGGGGAGGGGGGGGCACAAAGCTTGTGGACCATTCTCTGCATTCTTAAGTGATTCCATCCGTTACCGAAGTGGAGTTTGGATGGAGTCGATTCTGTCAAGCACAGCAGAAGTAGATTTCTGGTCTGGGTTTGGACTCAATGCCTGCTTGAGAGGTAGGATGCGGAGGTATTGCTCCATGGACGAAAACTGATTGAGGCAGCTCGCCGATCTCATCGACTTTAGTTCGCTGAAACAACAGCTTGGTCGGGTTAAACTGAAGCTTTTCCGGTACGTAGAACTAGCTGTCGTGGGATGACGCTGGTCACAGGTACTTGTTTTTATTTCATGCACATGTATCTAGCTGCGCATGAATGAGTAGGAGAAGGGGGGTTGTGTCTAGTGCTATCTAAACGATCGAATAAATAATATGTAAAAATACCGAGATATAGCTGTTAAAAATCAATCGAGTTTAGCCAGTTTGACTCATCGTCAATGGCGCCGGGTTCAGTGGAAATAAAAGCCTATCATTTTGTTGGAAAACATGTAGGAAAATATTAACTAATTGATATCGAACAAGCTTTAATTCCAAAAGAAAAGATTTATTTAGTAAAAATTTAAAATTAAAGAATAATTATTTTAAGTGGAGGAAATTTTAATAAATCGGTTTGTAACGAGAATTTTTTATATATGTATATGTATGTAGTATAGAAAATTGTACTTACTTATTTAAAATAGAATTTCTAAGATTAATACCAAACTAAATTGTTGCATACATCATGGAAAAATTGGCTTGTACCTTACTGTTTAAAGCTTAGTTTCCAGTTCTTAAGAAAACGGTAAAGAAAAAATTGCCATTATTTATTGTTATATTGTGTGACCAAGGAATTTTGACATCTGAGATTCCACAGCCTGTTGCCTCACTCTTGCCTGAAGAAATAATGGAAC